TAATAGGTGTTTACTTTTAACGACAGAGCAAATCAAGAGCCAAGGAAAATCTGGTAGCCCCGGATTTGGCTTGTAACGTCTGAATAGGGACTCACGCCCGTGTCTACGACCAATTCCCCCCCCCCCGGGTGCCAAAAGGCTAACATATCCTGCTAACATATTTCTCGGACAGAGGGATGACACCCATAACCCACCGCACGACCCCCCCACCAAGCCGATGGCCGCGGATTCCCACGGCCACTTCACAGGACCACACTTACGTGTTCTCGATTAGAAGGCCGGAAACAGGCGGCGGGGAAGTATTTATGGGCCGCGCCTCTCGCGAGAGCTGCTCTCCTCGCGAGCGTTCTATGCCGCGCAGGCGCAGGAGGCGTGTTATGCGTTATGCTGGCATCGGGGGCCCTGGATCGAGCATGGGTAAAACGCCAGAGGTTATAAAAGGGGCAGGCTCCGGCGCGCGCTCTTTCAGTTTCCTTCTGTCCACCGGGTGAGTAGGTCGTTGTGCGGCATTGTTGCATGGGAGGCAGCCTATGGAACAAAAATTCCTTGGAGAGCTAGGGATGGCTGTTTTAATTATCATGTTTTAATTTTAATTTTAATATTTAATTTTATTTTAAAATTTTAATTATAAGTTTTAATTTTAATCTTTTAATTCCTAGCATCCCCACCCTGGTTGTGGAATCTGGGTCTTGTAGTTCCCCCAAAGGAGCCATTCCAGGCTCTGATGTATTCTTAGCTCAGGAAGGGAATCCTCGTCTCTTCCTTTGTATAGTTAATAAGCCACCCCTTCTCCTGGGGACCCTGTTCTCTGGAGGATATATTTTTTCCATGTGCAATAGTCATAAGAGAATTTATTATATTTATTTAAAATATTTTTGCCCCGCCTTCCTCCTTGAAAATGACCTACGGCAGCTTACAGTAGTGGAAGACACTCAGAGGGGTATATATATACCAGATGGGCGGGATATAAATCAAATAAATAAATAAATTCGCAACTCATTGTTTGCCTGGCACTGTCTGAAAATCACCTCTGGCCCCTGGATATAAATCAAATAAATAAATAAATTTGCAACTCATTGTTTGTCTGGCACTGTCTGAAAATCACCTCTCGCCCCTCTCCGTGGCCTTGGGTGAGATAACGGTGCCCACAGCAAAGGGAGCATTAAGCTTATTGCCTTCTAGGGTGCAAGACGGGCAATAAAACCCATGTTCCTATATGTCCGATGGCGAGGAAGGAATTGCACCACAGACAGACAGCGTGGCTCATGCGAGGTCGGAAGGGGAAGCCTGCAAAGCAAAACTCAAGAAGCTCATGCTTGTTTCTCTTGCAGCATCTGTGCATCCTGAAGAGTCACATCCCGTGGAATCTCGGAATCTCGACGGTCCGCATGTCTTCATCTGGAAGAAGCGACCAGGAATGGACAACACGGAGTGGCAGGCTTCGCACTAGAAACGCTTCGCCTTCTGGGGCCTGCAGAACACATTTTCCTGTGGGAATCTCTGTGCTGCTTATATTTCCCATAGTTCGACATGAAGAGTGAAAATGTATCAGTTTGGTTGCTTAGCTTGAAGCTGTAATAAATAAACATCATTTTCCTACATTTTGTTGGCCTCTTGATGTTTTTGAATAAGGGGAAAGCAAGCGATGCTTCCTATAAATCAAATGCAAGAAATACAACTCCTAGTGAAGCTGTAAATCAGATGCAGGAGCATTGATGTTAAATGTGTTTACACCTTTTTCTGTGAGCGCTGTTGATTTCCCTACACTTGATAGTGCAGATATGAGCATGATGGCACATGGCTTAGATCAAAGAAGCACAGACTTGGTAGCACATGCTCAGGGCTGGAGTGGAAATGAGCCAGGGCTTGTAAGGGTCAAAGCCCCAGGATTTTATGAGTGCCAGAGATGAGGGACATCATCTCCAGGCCCTCTTGGGCTTCCTGTTTCCCCCAGTTTAGTTGAAATGCTCTTGATCCCAGGGGAAGAAACGGATTTTCCCAGTGAGTGCATATTGCTGCCAACCGTCTCTCAATGTATGTTGAATGGACAATTCAGAGCCATTTTTACAAAAAACAAAATCCTACTCGTTCCCCATGAAGCCACCTGCTTTATTGGACTTGCCACCTGGGCAGGCATGGCTACGGGAACTGCCATTTGGCTCCCAGTACAGCTAAATTTGGGTGGCCAGACCAGAGCAAGCCTTCACAAGCGCTGATCGGTCCTGTTTTCATAACTTAGGGTGCTTGTTTTGGACGTGCCTATTGAAAGCAGGCAGAGAGAAATTTGGGCTGGAGTTTTGTGGAGAGCTTGACAGCTGAAGGTTTATGGGAAACGGTGTTGGAGCAGAAGGAACACTCGAACCCAGAGCTCAGAGGGAAGTTACAGGCTTTGCCATGTCATACAGCTGCTTGCCTTGTGAGTGAGTCACTCCCGGGGCTAACTAATCGGAATTTAGAGAAGTTGCCTGTTTGGAGTTTCTGACATCCTAGTCCCCCCCCTCAAAAGATCTTAATTTTGGGGGCGGGAGGGAAAGCCTTGGAATGAACCCGGAAGTGACCTCGCAACCGGGCAGTGCGAGTGACTCTACCCTTTTTCTTTCTCGTTTCTATGGTCCGCTCCGCTGGGGGCGTTTCGCCGGAAGTCCGCCGCCCTGACCGGAAGCACGTGCGGCGAGGGGCTAGCACGTGGGAGGAGCCGGGGCGAGGCGCGGGGAGAGCATGGCGGCGCCGAGCAGGAGCAGCTCC